TAGAAGCATCAACACTAATAAACATTTGCTTATGTAAATGAAGCACAAAGGCATTTAGAAAACAACTCCCCCCTAAACAATCTCTAATAAACGGGGACATTCATTTCTTTGAAAGAAGCATATATGTAATGTGAATCAACAAATAAAATGTGTAGTAAGTGAGAGTAAACATCAATTACCTCGATTTGCACTGATCTCAGTTCTCTACTGTACTAAAATAAAGAATCCCTCAGCAGAGCAGGATAGATTCACAGATTCCTTGTAGTCTTGCAGACATTTACATAGGCCATAGCATTACTTGTAAGAGGCATGCAAAATATCATACCTCCGACCACTGTAATAAGCAATTTGAGATAGTGGCTGAGATGATGGTGAGCAATCATATCAGAACATGCAGTGAAGGTTTCGTTAAATATGATTGTCATTTAGAAAAAGAGTTCAAGGTGAACCATTGTGGAACTAAAATATCACCTAGTAAAATTGAAGTGGAAGTAGGAAAAGGCAAAAAAAAAAAGGTTCCCAAAATACCTATACATATGGATTCTCAATTAATGATGAAGTTGCATACATCCATTGCCCCTAAGTAAATTACACCATAAATAACAATGGCAAGGCAATTGCAAATGGCCCTTGGCTAGGCGACGACAGATGGTTCCCAGATTACCTGTTGCTGGCCAGATCTGCAATTGCGAAACAGTGTCGGCGCCGCACGGCAGCGGAGCTTCAAACTTGAGCAGAAGGGCGCCAACCCACTGTGGAGATGGAGAAGGATTGCATCGGCTGAAGAGAGCACAAAGCAAAAGGAATCAAATATGAATTACAGAGACAAAGAACTACTAACCAACGGAGAATTCAACACAACAATAGCCCATGGCAATGCAACATCACTGATCCAGACCTTCATGGCGAGCTTGAGTGCATGTACCCACCGGATCTAGCGATAGGCCAGCAGATCGATCACCTCGTTGTCGTTCTCCATCACCAGCAGCCCTGGTTGATCTCCATCACCACCACCCCTACTTGAACTGGGAAGAGAGAGGAGTAGTATTATTATGGTGTGTGTGTGTGTTGGGGGAAGGGAGGGCGTCGGCGGCGAGGAGAAGCGCAGGAGGGGGAGGCCGGCGTCTACCCACCGGATCGAGTGGCAGGGCCAGCAGATCGACCCTCTCGCCCTCGTTCTGCATCATGACCACTCTCCCTGCTTAACTGGGAAGAGAGATGGAGAGATTGGGCAGGGGGAGGGCGACGAAGCGACGACAGGCGTCACGGCCAAACCTCGCCCCGAGCCCCACGTGGTCTGGTCCCTCCGCAGGTTCACCACGGCGTCGACGATTCACCAACGACCACAGCAGCGCCTGGACGAAGGAGAACGCGCAGAGGAGTTTGTGAGGAGGCGGCGACTTCGGTGCGGCTAGGGTTTTTGGATGGCAGTAGAGGGCAGCCAAAAGTTAACTCCCCCGTCCACCCTCGCGTGATGGACGGCAAAAAAGCTCGAGGGGCAAGCCGTCGTCGCCGGCGAGGAGAAGGCAAAGCGGCGGCGGCGCAAGGGCAAGGGAAATGAAGAGAAGGGACGGGGGAACAGTAGTGGCTAGGGTTTCGAGGGAATGGGGGGATTGGGTGTTCTTTTTTTTTCATAAAACTCCCTTACTTTCTCTTTTTCAGGGCGCTGTCCTATACTTGGACAGTCATATAGAGGGCCTAAGGCAGTGAACTTACATTGAGGACTTAAGAAAGATTATCAAGGTAAGAGAGGATTTTTTTGCAAAATTACCAGCTCCAGCGCTCTTCATCGTAGATGCTTGATCGGACGACGCTGCTGGCGAGTAACCAGAGCGCACCAAAATCAACAGCCTTCTAGCGCGCGGGGGGCGACGTGGATACACGCGCGTGCGTCCACGCCGTCCCAAATTCTCTCGTGCGAGCACTTCGCCCTTGCTTTTAATTACCCCGATTACCCCGATATGGTAGTTAAAATTTGCTTGGTTTTGATAAAAATTTATATGGGGATCAATATGGAATAGACGAAGTATATTCTAAACAATACTATCATGTGGGCAATTTATATTTATCCGTAACAAAGCATAACTATTTAGTAAGTTGTACAAAATCTGATTTCTACCCATACTTATTTTTGCAAATATAGGCTGTGTTCGGTGGTGGGTGTTGGGAACCCATCACCCACGCATGAAAAACGGAGCGGTCCATTAACGCGTGATTAATTAAGTATTAGTTTTTTTTTCCAAAAATGGATCAATATGATTTTTTAAGCAACTTTTGTATATAAACTTTTTACAAAAAATACACCGTTTAGTAGTTTGAAAAGCGTGCGCGCGGAAAACGAGAGGGGAGTTGGGAATTCCTGTATCAAACACAACCATAAGAGCAAGTTTAATGGTCTATTTGATGAGCTTCTAACTGCTGCAGCTTCTCATAGAATCAGAAGCTCCCCAAACAGTCCAGCTTTTGATCCAAATTATGAGAAGATATAGTTATATAATCCAGAAAATGAACTAGAAGCCAGAAGCTCAGAAACCCAGCTTTTCCAGTTTCTCAGAAGCTGGCTTCCAACTAGCTGCTTTTTATAATCTTAAGCTCCTCCAAATAGGCTCTAATACTATAGACAACAACTATTAGCTTCAAGTTATCTATAATCAATCTAATAGCCAATTCATACAATAGTTAACTACAAATATATACTACATCATTAATAATTGGTCCCACATGTCATACACACGTAACGTTTCAGAGTTCGTGCTGCAGCTGGCTACAAATTTGTAACCCGTTTTTTTTCTTTCTCCTCTCTTGTCTTCTCCATATAAGTTTATAGCTGACTTATAGTCTATTATTGTACTTGCTTTAAGGTGTAATTTAACTTCAAGAAAAGTATGAGCATTCGTGTCGATACCTCGAACGGGTCGGATATCAAACTTGGTGAACAGGAACCAAACTTCAACGCAAGGTTCTTAATCAATACAAGCTGAGCTAGGATGCAATCCCCACTTCGCATAATTTGAATTAATTTGACGCCAAGAAAGTTTGAAATCCAACTTGCACACGTTAGAGCAGATGCCAGGCTATAAGCCAGCTATAAATATATTTTAAAGAGATAAAAGAAGAGAAAAAAAAGCATCGGGCTACAGATCTGTAGTCAGTTGTAGCACGGACTACAAGACGTAATGTGTGTATGATAGTATGACGAGGTATTAATAGTATAGTAATCAACTATTGTATGAATTAGCTATTACATTGACTATAGATGATTTGAAGTTAGTAGTTGACTATACTATTAAACTTGCTCTCAGTAACACTCTTAACTTCTAACTTAAAATCACTAAAAATAGACTAGTAGTACTAGTTAATAAACAGTCTTTTGTCGTTTAGAATTGAAAAATGGCTGGGTCTACTGTAGCATTCCTCTTCTTCTTTTTTTAAAAAAAGAGAAAAAGTTCACCGCTCGAGGAGCGGGCAGTTGTGGACTCTTGGAGTTTGTTTGCTAAATGGCTCCGTCTCTTTCTTACAAGTTACATTTGAATTAACTTTTGTTTTGAAGACTGCAAGAGACGGCCATATATTATAATTGCAGTTCACAATTTGATTTGACGACGGAACGGTCAATATATACTATCTTCATTTTAAATTAAATTGACTATAAAACAGACTAGTGCCCCGGTCTATGTTTTGTGTCACTCGAAATCAAAACAATGGCTAGATCCATCTTGCGTAAGCAGTGGTTGAGCAAAATAAATGATGAATTTAAAACTATATGAACGCAATTCACGTGTTCGTTTGACAAATTAGTTGGATAAATGGTTCCCGAAGCTAGGGGGGTTTTCTTATAAGTAATCCATCTAGATAATACTCTACATCTTACTGCAACTCCACGTATAGTATTCAACGAATTAAAAAAAACCAATGAACCACTGTCGCCGCTGTCATCGAATATACGCGGCCGTGGGCAACCGCATCGGTCCACGCCAGCGGCGAGGCGCTTAAGCCCGTCTGCGACCATGGCGTCCTCTGCCACAGGCACGGACCGCACATCAAGCCATTTGACGAGATTGAAGAAGAAAAAAGAAAAGGCAACGAAGAAGAAGGGAAACGGGAAAGCAGCTAACAACACAGGATCGCCCCACCGGTGCGCCGTCCGTCGCGCTGCCCTCCCGCTACTTAAAGATACTTACTTCATCCTAGAATAAATCAACCTCTCGTACAAGATATGATATACTCTCTCTATTCTAAATTGATCTATATATAATTTTTTTTAGATTATTCCTAAATGATCTACGTATTTGTGTTGATTCATTAAATCTATTCGTTATTTATGCATTGGAGTAAATGGACATTAACGTATGTATCCATACACACACGTATTTATAACCCATATGTAATATCTTGATTTTCTATTGGCTAGGAAATAGTGGAGATGGTGCATGCATGAAGTTTGTTGCTAGAGTGAATATAACACTATAAAAGAGTTATTAGCTTTTCTTGGTCTTGGTATACCTATAAAATATGTAGATCAATTTAGAATGGAGAGAGTATCCTGTAACTATGAATCTAAACATGCATTTAAGTCTTATAATGTTTTCACTTCATCAATTTTTTTATTACACAACACTAACATTTACTCCCTCTGTCCAAAAAAAGACAAACCGTGGGTTTCCGTGCCAACGTTTGACTGTCCGTCTTATATGAATTTTTTTATAATTAGTATTTTCATTATTGTTAGATGATAAAACATGATTAATACTTTATACGTGACTTATCTTTTTAATTCTTTTATATTTTTTTTAAATAAGATGAACGGTCAAACGTTGAACACGAAAATCAGTGTTTGTTTTTTTTTTACGGAGGGAGTAGTATATAACAACACTGTTTTACGACAATCCCATTGACTTGGTTCGCGGTCAATCACAAATTCGCAATCATAACAGACGCTCCCCAATCCCCAGTTCCCCACCCCCCACGGCCCCACCCACACACAACAAAACCAACAAAAAAAAATCCCAAAAATTCGAATAGTATCTGCCAATCGTCCTCATCGCCGGCCATCGCCGCCGCCGTCGCCGCCGGCCGACCACCGCGTCCGCCATTACCTCCTCCGCGACCGGATCTGCTTTCCCCACCCCCCCTCTCTCTCTCTCTCTCTTCCCCTCTGCACCTGCATCGCCATCACGATTCGTCGATTGCTCGCCAAGTCAAGTCCACTTTGAAAATTCCATCCCAACTGCCTCCGGCCTCTCCCCTCACCCACCTCGCGGAAGCGCCCTTATATACCACGCGCTTCGCCCGCCACGGCGACCCCGACGACCCGCCCCGCCTCGCCCCCCACCGCCAAGCGCCGCCGCGTGCTCGACCCCGACCCTGACCCGGACGCCGCCGCCGCCGCAGCCACGGGGAACTCGCCGCTGGGCGGCCGCGGCCGCGGCGGCGGCGGCGGCGGCGGCGGCGGCCCCCGCCAAGCCAACACCTCGGCTCCACCACGCGGCTCGCGGCTCCCGCTGCCTTCGTCTGGATCGCCTCCGCCCGCTCCGTTTGACCCTTTCGTCCTCTTCGCGGATCCGGCGCCGCGGCCGGCGCTCACGCGGGAACAGGTGAAGTACTGCAAGGAGGCGCTCAAGGTGTTGAAGAAGAAGCTCAAGCAAACAGCTGCCATTGACATTTCCAAGGAATTCCATGCTCTCCCGGTAAACCAAAAAAAAAAAAAAATCTCCCCCCATTTTGCGCTCGTCGTTTATTTCGTTTACTCGCTTGATAAACAATTGCGAACTGGTTCGGCACTAGGTTTTATTTTAGGGTCGTTTACTCGTCCTTGGGAATTGTCGAATTAAGGAATGAACTCAGTAGCTAGTCGAACTGTATGATGATAACTACTTAACTAGTGCTATTTTGTCTTACAAGTTTGGTTGGTCTGCTGCATACTTGCATTGCTTTGAAGTAAAGCATCAGGGTAGAGGAGAATTCATGTGATTGCATCATACGGAAATAAGTGCATTGTTTCAGTGCCTTTTCAGCGGGATAAAAGATGATTGCAGTCTATCTTTCTCGTGGGAGAATGGAGATAGCTAACACGGGCCGTTGTCTTAGCAATATCAGTATGATCCATTCGATACGTATGGACTTTAGAACAATATACTTTTGGTTTTGTGGAGTTTTTGTTGCTAGTCCTATGCTTCACCCAAACTAGTACGTGATGATGAAAAAGGCTATATTTCATTTTGAGTAATACTTTTTATGTGTAATTCTAGTCCCGTGGTCTCTTCACCAAAACTGGACATATTTCTTCTCATTTAGTTAACTACTGCATCACATGTACCTTGATGCAGTAAAGTAGTTCATTTTGGGGGTTGCGTACCGTGTAAAGCTATTAAGCCATCATTGTTGGAACCGATTGTGATTTGATATTACAATCAACAATCACTTATATGGACTAGGGATATGTATGCTCCATTTCTTACATTATCTTGGGGGTATATAACTGTATTCTTCATGTCTCTAACCCCTTACAATGATCATATACAGGTTATCCAAATTTATAGTAGTTTTTATGAGACGAGTAGTTATCCAAATTTATCCAACTATGAATTATTTTTTCTAGTGGCATCTCAACCATATCAAATGTTGTATGAACCAACTGATTAGACACTCTTTTCTGTACGGAGAACAAAACTCATGAAGATGAGAAGTCTTATGACAATTTCATTCAAATCTATATTTGTGTCGTGTTATTGCACATTTCAAAATCCATACTCTACCCAATGTAATGGAAAACTGGCTACACTTTCGTCCATATATATGAGAAGAAACATGTATTGGACTATGTATTGTTCAGATGACCTAATGTACTGAGAAATGTTGGAATTGATTTCTCAATTATTATTATTTCTTTCAAACTTCTTATCAAGTATGAGAAATCTTCTGAATTTCTTTTGAAATTGAGTGATATAAAGTTGCAACTCATTTCTCCTTAATAAAACATTTGAGGCAGCAAGCATTGGTTAAATTTTTGAATCCTACTATTTTTTTTTTGTCTAAACATGCTCTGCATTTCTTACAAAGTCTGTGAAAGACTGAGAGTAGTTCATATCTGGTTCTATATTTCACAGGACATACAGACAGCATTCCAGACGGGAAAATTTACTGCTGCTCAAAATCCTGCTAATAGGGAAAAAAACCGCTACAGTGATGTCATGCCATGTGAGCATTATCAACTTGTGTTGGCTGCTGTATGTTAGCCAAGAGACCTCCATGACGTATTATTAGTTTGACTTAACTTCTCTTCTTTAGTTGATGAAACCCGGGTACGTTTAAAGCCCTCAGCAAGTGATCACCCTTCAAGCAATGAATACATCAATGCAAGCCTTATAGAGGTAAAAACACAGGGGCATATTTCCTGGTGTTTATGTTATACACGAGTTTCCATCTTTTTCAATACTGAATGTTTCAAATCCTAGATGGGACATGGGACCTCTGGATTTGTTATAGCCTTATAGGTTATTTATGTGGTATAATATTTACAGACTGATGACCAAGGTCAAAGTCATACAAAGTTCATTTCCACTCAAGGTCCCTTGGTCAAGACATTTGGGGATTTCTGGCAGATGGTCTACGAAAACCAGTGTCCTGTGATTGTTATGGTCACTAAATTTGATGGTGCCAAGGTGCTAATGTTGTACACTCCTGAATTCTCAGTTTCCAAGTTTTATTTACTTGTCTTTACAACATATTATTGGGTTGCTCTTTCCCTGCATTATGTTGAGGCTACCCCAACTCCACTTATCCAACTATGTCCTACATGTTTTAATATTTTTATTATCATTATCATTGTCATGCTGAAGTCTTAATTTCACATCTCCATGGATCCCCCTCTTTTGCTTTGTTCAAATGGGCATGAATTTTTTTGTTGACTGTTGCAAATCTGGATGCGGCTGTTACATACTTGCATGTATGCATCATCTCAGATGGTTTTATTATCATCATATATTGATATGTAATCTGGCCATTGGAAGATGAAATAGCTTGCATCTCTATGGAGGGCACATATACATCACCTAGATTGTCATATGCAATTGAGAACATAAAATGAACAGAAAATTAAGATCTTGAATCTTTATGCTTGCGATTGACACATACAGCTGTCAGGTTCAGAGGTTCTATGTAATTCTTAACCCAAATACACTCATGATTGCTTCGCATATGCATATTTTAACTTGCTAAAAGCCAATTGCAGTATGCTGATCTCAACCATGAGTTGATCCTGCCTGCTCATATTGCAATACTTTGATTTCTACCGAAGTGCTTAGTGTAATCTGATTTGGATTTACAATTTACTTTTGGTTGTCTATTTCATGTTTGGAATTGATGTACAGAAAATAGCATGGCATGTAAGATGATTGCTGTGTTAACAAATTGTCCTTATGTAATCGATTCAATATTACAGTAGAATGAGTACTGTAAATACTTGCATGACAATTACAGTATGATGATTGGATAGTATTTTCTGTCTTAGTTTATGTTTTTGATATAATTGTTTTGAGATTATGACTTTGAGAACTACTCCCTCCTTCCCTAAATGTTTGGCGCCGTTGACTTTTTTAAACATGTTTGACCGTTTGTCTTATTCAAAAACTTTTGTGAAATATGTAAAACTATATGTATACATAAAAGTATATTTAACAATGAATCAAATGGTAGGAAAAGAATTAATAATTGCCTAAATTTTTTGAATAAGACGAACGATCAAACATGTTTAAAAAAGTCAACGGTGTCAAACATTTAGGAATGTAGGGAGTATTTGTCTATTACTGGATGATACCAAAAAATGTATTAAGTTCATTGATGTAGACATACAACTTGAATTTCCGACTATTTTCAACTAATTACTTTAATAAAATTTTATTAAATTATTAACTTTGAAAAAATGGCAGTGTGACAGGTATCTTCCAACGAACGAAGGAGAAGAAAGGGATTATGGAAAATTCAGTGTTAAGATCACAAAGTTCAAATGCGATGGTGTCTTAGAATTGCGTGGTTTGGAGGTACAGCAGAATGAGGTAAAGATTTTCAAAGGCCATCAGCTACGTTTTCTTGTTGCTATTAGTGAAGTGTAAGGTAGGTTATACTTCTGTTCAAAAAACAGGTAGGTTATACTAGCAAGGCCTATTCCTATGTTTTGCATCATAGGTTATCAATTTCAAGATTACAGTTGTTCGTAGATGGATATATTTAAGCTCCTCTTTGCGGCATATCTTAAACAAATGAAGAATTACATCTATATGCTTGTATCATAGCTCAGAGATTTCCCCAGGTTAGGGCCTGCTTGGAAGTCCGGTTTTTGGCCTAATGTGAGTACAACACTTCTGAAAACTTTTACATTCTGGACTTGGAAGTTGAAATAGGTGCTTTTATGGGTCAGTAACCCATTAACTATCCCTATCTTAGGCCCATACGACTGGAAAATGGATGACCTTGGAAGGCCACACTATTTTTCACACATTTTTTCTGAGAAATCTCAGGCTTGCCTTGAGCTCGAGCTTGCTCCACCCTCCTCGCCTCAGTGCCTCATTGCCACTGCCACTTCTACAGTAACCACCAACATCCTCCTGGCTTGAATGAGCGACGCGGGCCTCCTCCAGCTTGAATCCATGCCACTGCCCCCCTCATATTGGTGATCCAAGTTGTCATGTCGTCTGTTCTCGATACAGCCCTCCTGGAGATAGGCAGCAAACCCATTAGCAGGTGCAGCAGCGGTCACTCTGTTAGTTACTCTAGAGAACATGGGCATCAACAACAGATGGCGATGCCAGTGACCTCTGCCAGTGCTGAGTGGATTTCCTCTGCCTTTGATAGCATAGCACACGCCTCATCCTCATCACCCCTGTCCCTGAATGTGCATAGCTTTTTCAATGATTCGGTCTGAACTTTATACCAGTGAGTATAAATTATGTTGTGTTGTTGCATGTATAGATTCAGAATTTGCTTTCCTTGATTCTAAAACATTTGTTGTGTACTCGCTTCTAAAGCATGCTATTGGGCAATACACAGTCAAATTTGCTCATGATCTGTGCTCGATGCATTCAAAGTACTCCGTATATGACTATGACTTGTTTGCTTGGTTCCCAAACAGTATTTTACAAGGTAAACAATCATGTTAAGGGGGGTGCTACTGCATAGGAAATTACAACTGTAATATTTTGTCAGGTGTAAATATTTACCAAACTTCCAAGCAGGCCCTTAGGATGCTCGTGTTTAAATTTGCTGAGTGAGACGACAAATTATCCATGGCATACAAGCTGTATTTACCTTTAGTTGAATATATTATCAAGCTTCCTTCTGCTATGTGTGTTGCATATTCTATAGCTGGAAACAGGCAACCCATCTTATTTTCTTACTTTTTTTTTCTTCTCATTGCTTCCATGTTTTCTCCTGTACTTCTTCCTCCATGTTTGCTTCCCTCTCTATTTCCTTAAGATGTCATCATAAGAAATGTTCCATTGCTATGCTGAAGAGTTATGACCAGAGTATCTCCTGACTGCTAATTTCTGACATTTCAGTCACTTACAGTTCGCCATGTTCTCCACATTCTGTATTCTGACTGGCCTGACCATGGGGTGCCACATGACAGTGCTTTTGTACGAAAAATTTTGAAAAGATTATATGGCATTCCAAAAGAGCATCCAATAGTAGCACATTGCAGGTTTGATTGAAATTAATGCCATTCTTCCATGTGCACCTATCCCTATACACAAACTCAATACTATTGTTTTTTCTTTCTGCAGTGCAGGTATTGGGAGAACTGGTGCTTATATCACCATCCACAACACTATAGAGAGGATTTTACTTGGTGACATGTCTGCTTTGGATCTTTCTAAAACTGTCAAAAAATTTAGATCCCAGCGACCTGGAATGGTCCAAACAGAGGTATGTGTGGCTCTTTATTTCTCTGCCTCTGCTACAAAATCCTCTGAATTTGACAATAGTTTCTGTATAGTGGAGCTGGTATGTACCTTAGAAGAAGTATGTTGTTATTTATTTTATGTACTGCAGTTAGTGAACATGTGACTCGTGAAAAGTGACAACTGTACCCTAAATCTGACGCTTAGCCTTTTTTTTTATTACAAAATATGGTGCTCCGTTGATCTTTTGCTTTGTAAGGACAGTACGTATAAAGCAGCAATCGGTGACTTTCTTGTCTTTAAGGCTTAGTTGGGTTTTCTGGATTACGGATATGCTTTAGTTGGATTGTCAGAATATTATCCATCGAAATAACAGTGCCTGAGGCTACCTAAGAGTAGCACAGAATAAGGATCACTGCAGATACTGTCCTAATTCAACATTTTACTCTGCAGGATCAATACAAGTTTTGCTATATGGCAATTGTCTCTGAGCTGAACGACCTGCTATCAAATTCAAAACACTGAATCATTTCTATGGTATGTTTCTTGCACGAGGGCCTTACTATACGCACTATCCATTACGCGGTATCACAAGCTGTACAAACATATGCTTGTTTGCATCAGTAATCTCGAAATGTTGCATATCTCAATTCTCGTCTCATATCTTCTCCTCTGCAGGAACAATCAGTGCCCTGGGTATCTCTGACAGATTGTCGCCCTTCAACTCCCTCAATTCTTTAAGCCTAGCTAACAGCATTCATGTATGCTGATGATGTACAGCATGAAGACTGAAAAATTCATGCTTCAGCAGGAAGCTTTCTCTAACTTCTCCACACCAAGAACCACGTGTATGATCCCAGGTTATGCCTGGTTCTGTATCCAAAGCTGATGATGATGATACAAGGTTTGGAAATTTGCAGCGGCGCTTCTCCTGCCCACCCACCTAACTTTGTGATTGTTTGGTAGCTTCTCCTGCATCATGCATATGATGAAATTTTTCGGAAGTTTTAAGACTCAGCTTTGTCACTTTTCAAGCAGTAGTGACGCTGCCCCCATTTGTTTGTGTGTGTGAGGTCAAATGTCTGGAGAAGATTGAAACGGCTGTTGCTACTGCAAATGCAGCCACTTCTTGATGATGCTCTGTTCTATCTCTAGACTGTCTGTTTCTGGGGGTTGAGGAGTTGAAACCGGTGTTGCCAAGCAGAATGGCATCAGACATCTGGAGATGATTTTGTTGTTATCTGTCAGTGGAGTTTTCGAGGGGAAAATGGACGGTAGCGGAATGGGCTATTGGGGTTCCAGCCCAACGCGAAAAAGAACACGAGTTTTTCAGAGGTGAAAAGAAAAATTTACCATCTAAACGCCGTAATTAGTACTAAAACGTAAGGGGACGACCGAAAAGAAAACCATTGGATCCTGTGCTTTACGCTAGATTGACATCCCTATTCTAAGTGGTATGGTCATATTGCAATGTAAAATAAAGACATGTTCCTAATTTGTGTATTAAATAATAAAGACATACACGCAAAACCATCACCGTGAATGTACTCATCTATGAATATTCCCGACCTTGTCCTGGCTATACGTTTATTGTGAGTGAGGGGATGGATGGTCTATATGTTAACGAAAGAGAAAAACAAGTTAGATTGGTCTACTAGTTTCTAAGGGATAATGTCAATATGTATCTTAGAAGAATATTTCATTTCAAGAATGATCCCGTTCCACCTGTTCTCTAACCAAATACTTTCATTCAAAAGTAGACTCACCTGTTCATCTTATAAATCAAACACATGCTTACATGCCCATATCACAGGAGCGACTTTCTAATGTTTGTAGGAGTATGTACAAAAATTGCCAAGGTCGTTCATGTAATGCACAGTGAATGGAGATATATATAATGAGGTTTATTTTAGGGGTAATTAAATTTAATGAGACGTTCCAGAGGGCGGCTTCTGCAAAGGAGCAGCACATGCACATTGTTTTGCTCATTATATTTTACCAGTCCCCTGAGTTAAAAGGCAGTGACGTAATCCAGCATGTAAAATTTTAAGCTATGGCGATCACTTAAGCTAAAACGTCATTATGCGAGTTGAAGTTTAACAAAGACACGAAAAAACTCAAGGTATTTAATTAATTAGACCCACTGTCCATTTTGTCTAACAGTTGACGAGAAGCAAACTAGATTAGATTGCTAGTAAAAAAATATTTGACATTCAAATTGTGCAAAAGGGGAAATTAATCTAGCATTTGACTTCTGCTCATAATGTGAAAGGTTCCGTTCAGATCAGGGGGTGCAAAATTTATAATGAATTCTTCGTGAAAAGGTGAGAGTACCTTCACGAAGGGAGTACATCACATCACAAGATGTGTTTAGGCAAGTAATACAAACATGATGACGCTTATTTAATAACTAAGTCCATTGACTGTGAAAAGCACATGGGAATAATTCCCTATTGATCCCTACCTAGTTTATTTTCCCTGGTATAAGTAATCAAAAGCTAGCTAGCACAGTACTGCAGGTGCTTCTCAAGCAAAGAATTAAGTAACCTACTATGGATGAAAGAACAATGAGATGCATGGTGTGCATGTTAGTGCAAATATAAATTAGGAGAAGTCATAAGGTTCCATATATACTACTTTGGAATAATGGAATAAACTTAGGGATCTTCTTTGCTTTTCTCCTCTAATTTCATTATCCACACCCAGCCAATTCAACAAACAATGGGTGGCAAAACAACATGGTTTTTAATTTGCGTGTGTAAGAAATGTGCTAATTTCACTCAATGTTTCACAAGGTTGGCACATGCACATTATTTTCATTCTTCTTCCGAAGTGCTAATCTTGGCTATCAGTACATTATTTAATATTTAATAGCATCCATCCTATTGGGTACTTTCCATAAATACAGTATACATAGACCTACTGGATTTATTTTTATAAACTCTTATACTTATTTTAGAATGTAAACATTTTATATTTCCTCAAGACTTTGAAGCAAAAAAGAAAATATTTTCTTTAGCTAAATGTTTCATCCAAATCAAGTAAATTGTATGTAGATTTAAATTACAACAAAGCTCCAATAAAATGCATAGATGATACAATGGCAGCGCTTTAACTTTTAGGAATTGTTTCTTGGTGATGAATATTTACAGGAACATTTCAATTATGGGTTGTATTTAATTCTAAATTGTGAACTAGTGCATTTCACATAATGAGATTACTAAATTGGTTGAATGATTTCTGATTTGTCTCATTTAGCACCGAACTGGAATACAGGATGATGAACGGGAAGGTGTTAATTTATTTCATTTTAGACATCATTTACCATAAAGAGCACAATTCTAAAGTTAGAATGTTAATAGGCAATTTTGTGATATGAAAATTGTTATTATTTTCTTAGAATGCACATCATGAAACAATCCTAATTTTTCTTTAAAATTAAAAGAGTACTTACAATTGCTGGAAGTTGATGTGAGTCTATAGAATCATGTACAATGGATATAGGAATTTAGTACAAGCAGAAAAGGAAAGGTTAGCTAAAAATAAAATTTACCCATCTGTATTTTTATTTCCATACCCATATAAAATTTTACAATTAATTAATACGAACCTTCAAATTCTGTGTTGATTCAGTGGACAAATCAAACTGATTTCCACGATCATTGGGTTCATTGCAACTAGTTTGTATAATAGATAATCTAACTATCTAATTATTGTATCAAAGAAAATGTTCCACCAATAAAAATGATTAGAATTGGGGAACTTACTTCCATCACCTTAAAATGATATGAGAATATGGAATATAGCATGCTTAGAACTTTTGTTACATTTTATCTATAAATATAAGTCTTTAATAATCATTATCTCATCACCATAAAAATCGTTGTTTTTTAATGCAATTGATTTCCTTTTTGACAACAACCCCCCTCCCCTATTCCACCCTTGGCAATCCACAACATATCATTTCCTACAACCACATTACTACTCATAAACTGGATTTATTTTTTTCTTAATGTGTGGATCAGATTTGGAATTCAAACTAAAATTGTGTCGGATAGTTGATGCTAGTTGTATCGACTTCACTATTTTTTCATAAAAGAATTCAACTGTGTTTAATAAGTGGGAACATAACATACATTTTGTGCATTTATATGTGGCAAAGCATCCTTCGCTATTAATATTTGGTGCATTTAGATGCAACGAAACATCCCCCGTGATTAATGTTTCATTGTAATCTTTGAAGTATATTTGATCATTAATTGTAACAAGTTTTTCATTTATGTGTCTCAAACATTTAATGTCACATTTTTTTCACCTTAATTGTTACCCTACCAAGCATTCGGCACGTGACTATTAAATGTATTGCCCGTCCTTCCTCGACCCTCACCGTGACCTCCTACCCAACTCTCACCTTATAGACACTTATCATCAAGTTGTCCATGCCACTATATCCTCACCTTCCCAAACAAAGTGTTGCTATCTCCATCACGCCGCACCCCTCGTCCAGTTGTCCTTGCCATCGCCTAGACCATGAGCTTTGCCGCCCCTGTTTGGAGAGAGGTAAGGTGCGGCAAAGCATCCTCCACCATTAATGTTTCATCATAATCTCGGAGGTAGATTTCATCATTGATTGTAACAAGGTTTTTCATTTATGTGACCGCCAGCCCTTTCTCAAACATTTAATATCATTCAAGTAAAAAATATTTAATATTATTTTTTACTTAATCGTTACCCTACCAAGCATTCGGCGCATGCCTATTAACTGTAACACACACCCTTCCTCGGTCCCACCACCGCCTCCTTCCTCGGTCCCACCACCGCCTCCTTCCTCGGTCCCCACCACCGTCTCCTACCCCACCTACCATCAAGTTGTCCACTCCATCATATCCCCACCTTCCTACACAAGTGTAGCTATCTCCACCGCGCCGCACCCCTCGTCCGACAATCTTTGCCGTCGCTTTGACCACAAGCTTCGCCGCCCCCGCTCAGAGAGAGGTAAGATCTAGGCTTCACAAATCCTAGAGGGGGTGTCGAAGCACTAATCCCGAAGAATTCACCAATCCACAGGCGTGGTTTTCACGGGGAAAACAAAAGGTTTCTTCGATTTTTCTAAATCTAGTATGCACTCTTTCGCAATCTAGTATGTGTACCTTTGTTTTGCTTAGAAACATGCCATGGGTAGTACAATTTTTTTTCAGCAGTGCATACTTAGCTAGCTCTTCTGGCATATGACTAACCAAAACTGGAAATGATCAGAGAAGTATGCTCGATCTACTCATATATTTTTATTCAGGAGAAAAATAGAGCAGATCTGATATGTGTGTGTGTGTGTGTGTGTTTGGGGGGGGGGGGGGGGGGTGTTGACCATGTCCTGTTCTCTGCCTGATACACCAGCAGTCAACCATTAAACTAATAAGAGAGAAGAACACATATAATAAACCTGGATTTAATTTTTCGAATTCTTTACTGAGTAGACTTTTTTGCCACCACCCTGTTGCTCTACATTAAATCGCCTCTTCAATCGCTTCCTCCTTTTTGCTAGCTGCTCCATTTTTCCTCCTTCGATGTTCATCTCTGAACATATAAACACGTTCTTGGCATTATTATTCCTGGTTCTTGATATAATCGATCCGAGCTGTTTTTATGATCATTTTGCATGCTCTCCATGGCCAACCTCTCGTGTTCGTCCATGGTCAGATAGGATCTCGTCCGCATCATCACACGGTATAGTTTTTGAGTTCTTTGTGATCAGATCATGAAGATGAGTCGTTTCTGCTCTGTGGTTGGCATCGTTTGCGGCTCCCCGTCGTCTTCAGGCGATGAAGCTTTTGCTTCCCATGGCGAGCAGCAGCAGGCGACGACGACGACGACGGCGCAGTCTTCTGGGAAGAGCTCGAGCTCGAGGAGGAAGACGGCGCCGGAGGCCTCCGGCGAGCACAAGGCGGGCGGTGAAGCGCCGCCACCGGCATCCAAGAAGACAGCATTGCTCGACAAGGGCAAAGAGAAGGTATGATATCTATAGGTTACTACTCATGTTCGTCTTCATCTTCTTGTTTGAAGAGCAGATGCTACTCTTTCTTGATGCTTGCTAATTTTGTGGTTAAAAACTGGATTTGATGCAGTGGTTTTATGCATTGATTTGATTTCTTTGGGATGAAAGTTTCAGAAATGGTGGTGTTCCAGGGAGAAGAATATGCTAGGGCATCATCATGCATATGCTGGGTTGAGATAAAAAGAAACATCATAAATGTGGGATTTAGGATCTACGTTTTAAACATATTCACATTTTTTTTTTGCGGGGAAGACACATTCACAGTTTTTTAATTTGTGGGGAAGACATATTCAGCTTTGTGTGTGTGTGTGTGTGTGGAAGACATATTAATAGATTTTTTTTTTATTTGTGGGGAAGACATATTCACAGTTTGGTTATGTTTTTGCGGATCATTCATGAAAATGCACCATTTCCTTTTAAAAGGAACCTATCTATTTCAATATTTGTGATGTGGCTAATCAAGAACAATACATCGTGCATCAATTAGACTAAATCTTTCTTTGATCATTTAGGTATCAGAAATGGACACTTCTGTCAGGAGAACCAGCAAAGGAATATCAGGCAATCCATCAGAGGATTCCAACGAACCAGTGGCTAAATCTCCGACACTGAAGACCGTGATCGGCAGCATAAGGAACTATATTGCTACCAAAAAGGGTAGAAAAATAAAGATCCTGGCCTTTGAGGTAGCCAACACAATTGCCATGGGTTCCAACCTGATGAACTTCCTCTCCGAGGAAAACATAAGGTACCTGAAACGTGTTGTGCTTCAGAACCAAGGCGTCCAAAGTCTGATCTCAGATGATCAGAGCCAGTTGCTTGCTCTTGTTGGGGATGAAATTAGGTAATTAATGACTTTTTCTATAAATTTCAATGCTTTTACTATTTATATAAATTATTACTTATATGTGTTTTTCAAGATTTCTTACATTCATTGGGCTTGGTTTATGCAGACAACAGTTCAAAGATTTTGCGGCATCTGTTGCTAGGCTTGGGAACATGTGCAGGGATCCCAAATGGCACAATCTTGAAGGGCATTTCTCTGGGTAAAATTTTAGCTGCCACCACATTACTGTTCTTGTATAATTCATGGCTCAATCATATTTTATTCTATCTGAGTGTTCATTTGTGTGCCTCTTGTCACTGCGCAGATTGGAGTATGGTCCCATAACTCAGGAGTATTCCCATGAAAAAGCAGCATCCAAGATGGAGGATCTGATGGAACTTGTGACTAAGACAAAGGTGTGTTAGTCACATATTTTCTAATGTCATTACCACTGTTGGTTCAACACATTTTCTTTTTAGGAACCACTGAAATGATGTTGCTGTTCTATTTTCTTCTGTGCAGATACTGTTTGAAGCATTGCGCCGATTGGGAGTCTCCGAGAAGATGTACAGGGAAGCCAAGCAGACAGGTGCTTCCCAAAACCATTTGTGTGATCAGCACAACTAATCAGAAATATGTCTATTTATGTTCTTCACATCAGTTCTTAACATTTTTTTATATGTGCAGGTATGCCACTTGAGACTTTCCAAAATGCGGTGAACATTGAAAAAGAAATCGTGCAAAGCGCAAAGAAGAAAGCACTTTGGGTCAAGAAGATTGAAAAAGTACGTAAAAACTGTGTGATATGATGATTAATGTTTATCACATTTTTCAATAACGAATTTATGTTAAATACACAAATGCTGTTTCTGTTGCAGATTGTGGAGGAACTTGTGTACATTGTGCATTACTTGCCTTCTGAGATCAATTGTGTCTTCTACAAGGAACATGAAGAGGATAGATCTGTGAAGGCTAATGGGAGCCCTCAGCAAACTTTAGGGTCTGCTGATCTCCAGCTGAATTACGCAAGGATCGTTATCGCCATACAAGTTTTGGTAAGATTCTTTGACAGTCATTAGGCCATTGTTCTAGGATCTTGGTCATTGATCAAGTGTAGTCGTGCATGATATAAACATATTTCCGGTTTTCAGTTGATTTGGCACACTAACTGAAATGTCGAAACTGATTTTATTTGTTCATAAAGTTTCAATCGCAGGTATCCGTCGCATCATCGGTTCCGCAATGTGCTGTAGATTCATTGTTCCATGCACTGCCTTATAGAATCAGATCAGTTTTGCTACCTAGGATGAGACACGGCGATTTTGACGACCAGGTGACCACTCTTTTCTGTCAATTCCGATTACCTGACAAAAATGTGTATCCTGTATATACTGTTCATCTTCATTTCTTTCTGAACTTTGCATCTTCTTATTGCAGAGGACAGAAACGCAGATCGCCGATGAGATGACCAGGAGACTTGAATGGCTCTATCCAATGGCAGAATTTACAATAAGGTACTGTAATCTCTTGCCATATACACCAGGTTCATTCAATGAATAATAACCTGATGCTCACCTTGTACATATCTGAACATCAGGCTGTCTCAGCACACTGGAATGATCAGAGAATGCCTGGTATCAGGGTATATAACTATGACTGTCGTGTCTATTTTGTCATGAACAATATGCAAAAGCACAATTGCTGATTTCACTAATAATTCCTCATGAAATTCTTGTAGGAGCCTCAGTGACCGTGATCAACGTAAGATGCTCAAGGTTCAGACACTGTACCATGCTGATAAGATGAAGACTGATGGCTGCATCATTGACATGGTGATGGACCTTCATCTTCTCATAAAAGCCGCGAGACTGAGGGCTGATGCGCCGCACCATAGCGGTCCTCTTGATCAACCAGTGAGTACCAGTGGATCATCAACCAGCTCGGCTAGCACAGGCATCAGTGGATCGACCAGCTTCGGTAACATTAGCACCACTTGGTCAGATATTGATGAAGATTTCATCGCCGTGATCGATTAGATTCAAGGTGTAGATTCCCTGCAAATTCTGATGTAGGGAGAGGGATGCCTGAAAATAGAGAGGGTTTTAGCTGAGAACTGAGATAATGCAGAAATTTAGTTTATAGCTCTTTAGATACTAGACAAGGTTGGTTTAATGTTCGCGCAATATTTGAGTTCATGAATCTGTATTTGAGGAGCTCACATGTACATTTTGTGCAAATGGTTGGAAGAGAGAAGAAAATGTGCTGAACATTTTTCCTCCAAATAATCAGAATTTCTTCTCCAATATCATATATACTAGTGTGATCAATAATTAAAGATCATGCTTAAGCAGGGAAGCAGGGATGCTTTTTTGGGCCACTTCACCTTAAGATCATAGTGGGGATGGCAGAAAGGAGCAGTCATGCTTAAAGCAATAGCTAGTGCTCTTTTTTTTTTCTAAAAAATGTCAAATAACCTTGATAAGATTTCTGAACTTTTGTCATGGATGTTGCACGCGTGCAGACTATACGATTACTTGTTTGCAGGTACCATCATTGGCAAATTATTTTTGAGGGTAACACCATTGGCAAATCGATGAGTATTTTTTCCTCAAAATTGACACTTGCATCTTGCAGGGGCTTAAATTAGCATGAACACTTTCTCAATTGAATGGTGATGAACAACATAATGTGTCTACAACACATGTGCTGATGCTTTCTTGTTTACTCTTCTACTCAATGAGATACTAGTATATGATTTCACCATTGTTTAGCAATGAGCTGACTAACCAAAACTGCATCAATGCAGTCTCTGCAGACTGAACTTAGTTTGTGAAGTAAAAATGTGCATCACACATTTTCAGGTAAGGAAATAAATAAATGCATTATGCATCACAAACAAAGCTCCCACTGGTTTAAGAAATCAGGATTATATGACAGAAGTTTGTTAAGCCTGCAACTAAAAGTTGTCTGTGTTCTTCGGTATAGTGTGTTACTGCAACCAAGAAAGTTATTACTGAAAGACTAAACCAAGAAGAACCACCTTTTATAGAGATTCTAGAACTCCATTTTTTTTGTATCAAGATCAACACTGCAGCAACTAAACTCCCCTGTGTTCTTGAGTGAATCACTTTCAACAAGGGCCATTATTTTCAGAGGAGAAGGCAAAAACACTCTTGTGAAAAATTCAGAGAAATGCAAACGCTTTGTGTGAAGCATCATCTCCATCTTGTTGTGATCAGTGCATGACGTAGACGTTGTACTCGACAATGGCGTCGCCGGTCTTGAGGTCCAGGGTGTGCGTCCTGGCCTGGGCGTAGCCGCGGGCGAAGCGGAAGGCGCCGGTGCCGCCGATCACCGGCATCTCCCGGACGTCGTCGAAGGGGCAGTTGCGGCCGAGCACGGTGACCACGCTGCCGTTGTAGGTGCCGTCGGTGAACACCAGGTTCATTGCCTGGAGGAAGCCCAGCTTGGCCTGGTCTGAGCCCATGTACAGCCCCTGGGCCCGGCCCATGGGCTTGGACTCGGGCTCGGGCCCCTCCGTCAGCGGATCGTCCATGACGTTGATCATCCCAAAGAAGGACCGCGATGACGGGTCCACCGGGTCCACCACCCGCACTGCCGTCGGTGATGGCTTGCTCACCTTGTCGTGGAAGTAGAAGTGCAGGTGAGTCGTCGGTGAGGATGCTGACCCGCGGCGGGCCAAGCCCGGCCTGGTTTCTTCTGGGCGGGCCGCCCTCGCAACCGCCGCAAGTGTGACCACAAGGGTGATCACCACCACTCCCTTGGCCTCCATTGTTGAGCTCAATGTGAGCAACCAAGCTAGCTTCTTGCTATCGTGTGAGTGAGTGTCACTACTTGATGTGTTGTTCAGGTGAAGCTCATGAGCTACTTATATAGCAGTGCCACCATGGTCTTGGTGTGATGAGCTCTATGGCGTGCAAGGGAAGGCGACACGTGGCGGGCGGCGATTGGTCTCAAAGGCTGGTGATTCCAGGTGACCTTGTAGTACTGGAAGCAAGAGAAAAGATCACAAGTGGTAGGGTTGATGAGCACAGATGCAATGTTGGCTTTACCTTTGGAATGGCACAAACGGAGGCATCGATTGGTTGCCTGTGGTTGTGGAGCAAACACTGGAAAAAGTTTTGTGGTTGGTCGGCTTCTAGATTGTGTCAAAGAAACTGATCACCAAGCTAAGATCATTGTGGATCATATGGATTATTTTACTAGTAGAATTTCTTTGCCACTAATTGCAGAGGGACCAGATGATCTGGGTTGAAGCTACTGGTGTACGAAATCAAATCAAATCAGATAGTTTGCCCTTCTTGTTGACGGAGACATCTTGGACATGATGACTTGGATGTTGGTTTCAGATGTTGGTAGAAGTAGTCGTTGAAGCTTGAAAGCAGCTAAGCTATACTACCTCCGTAAAAAATAAAAAATCCAAACTGTATGGGATGAAATATTTTTCTAGTACAACGAACAATCTTATGCTAGAAAATATCCCATCCAATATTAGTTGTTGTTTTTTTTTGACGGAGGGAATAGACTATAGGGTGATCTACTACTACTGCTCTCCTATCTCTGTCAGACGCTCTTCATGCGCTCTGAGGCGCATACTAGATCGATCACTAGATGAATTTGTTTTCACAAAATAGATGAAACAAAATTGTACTCCGGACCATCTTGGTTTGAAGCCAAGTCATACCAAATTGTTGACCCTTTTAATAGTACTTTGTTAGTATTTGTTTTGCTATCAAAATGTGCCAAGAACACACATTTTGATAAAAAAAATGGTGTTGGAGCAAATCCAACTAGTGTATTCTAGCCTTTTCTGTTGCGTTCCTCCTCTTCAATTTGGGGATTATGTACACATTTATAGTCTGTACAAGACATGGGAAATTACATTCATAACCCTACAGACCTAAACCCTTCCCAGTGAGCAGATAGGCCCACCTAGGGGGTAACTGAGTCATTTCCTGGGAGACAAATGCAGGGATGGCGCCCATTAAGGCGGCATCTTGGCTCACTTTGGGGTTCCCCTGATGGCCCGGCTACAGGCTATTACTTAGGTAATATCCCTCCCCCAGTCCATGGCGAGCTCTGGTCTCTGCCTCACCAGCCGCACCAGGGTGTCCGAGGGTGGTTGGCGGCTACTAGTGCGCTTTAATGAACGCCCATCCTTGCTGATGCCTCGGGCTCCGTCAAGGAAGGGAGATGCTCCGAAGCTGGTCTCCCTCAGAGCTGTTGCGAAGCCCTAATGGAGCCTCACCTCCGGCTCGGTGACAGGGGATTCCCCTCTGGAGCCAGTCAGCCAGGCCACAATCCTTAGACTTGGCTCCGGTGGAGAGCCCGAATCCTCCTTTTGGGTCCCCTGAGGATACCTCCGAAGCGGAGGCCCCCCTCGACGCATTAGGAGGCTCTCCGGAAGTTGCTGAGGTCGAAGCTACTTCCCCAACAATGGCACTACCAAAACATACCACATTGCCATCTTTTTGGCATAGTACCAAATCAAACAAACCCTCCCTCCGTAACACATGTCAGGTATTAGCTTTTTACACGGTTTCCAACATATACTATGACTATTAATTTCAATTCTACTATCATGATACTTCTATATATATTATGCATCATATGAAAATGTATTTTTAAATACGAATCTAATGATACATGCATGTACAACACTATTAGTCAAAATTTTTAAACATAGACATTGTTGAAAACATGACTTTTTATATTTTAGGATAGAACGAGTTGAACGGATCGCAACGAAGGCTGAGGTTGAAGATAAACTTTGAAGGCAACCGGATTCTGAAATTCTTTGTGTACAGATGTAACTGATGCTTTTGAAGTAGTGTCTGTTACTCCTTCCCCTATCTGACAACAAACAGGTCGATCACTTGAGGCATACTCTCAAATGATGCTCCAGCTACAACATCAAGAATTCAGCTCTTTCAGGAGTTTGTCAGTGTGACACAAAACTTCTCTAGAGAAATTCAGCTAGCTGCAAAATACTCCTTGTTGATATAGTTAGACCTAGTACTGAACTTGTATCAGCTGAATTCTGAAATGTATCAACATTCAACAACAGTAATCAGGTTAAAGAGAGTCGAGCATGACGCATGGGTTACGTCGTGCTGACCTGGTTGCCGACATATATCTGGTAACCATGGCCATATGGGCCCACACAGACAGTGACACCTCCTATCTCTCAACGCCGTATATATCTTTTTAAAAGAAGAGTAAATTTATATAGCCATAAATACTTAGATTTAACGTCAAATTTATTACAGAACTACAGATTTAAAACATCGTATCACAAAACTATATATTTAGTGATAAAGTTATAAAAAATACATATTTTAGAGTTTATATCCATAGTATTATTGAGGTTGGAAAAAAATTGTAGTTTATGATAAAACTGATGTTTTAAATTTGTAGTTCTCTAATATAATACTTTAAATTTATTTTTTTGTGAAAAAATAATGTCAAATATGTAGTTTTGTGATTCAATTCATTAACACTCATTTAGATAAAAGGAATTACAAATAAATTTTGAAGGATTTCGATTCTTACCAAAATTTCCCTATTAGCTTCTTTTGGAAAAAAAAACCCTTTCTTACCAATAACCCCTTTAACTCCTAAGCAATATACTCCCTTCGTTCCAAAACGTATGACGCCACTTACTTTTCACATAACGTTTGATCATTCATCTTATTAAAAAATAAAATATTATTTATTTTACATATATTTTTACATATTATACTAAATTTTTTGGACGAATAAGCTATACGACATTTTTTTCTGAGGAATCAATATGATATTGTGCTATTTCATTAAAATATAGAGGTAATAAAGTAAAACCCCTAAGGGTTAAAAGAGAAAACTATACATGGCTGAGAGCGGTCTATGCTAGCAAGGTAGGAGGTCTCTAAGCCTCTTTGGGCCTGTTTGAGGGAGCTTCTAGCAGCAGCTGTTAGAAGCTCCCCCAAATAATCCAGCTTTTTATCCAGATTCTTAGAATCTGTAGCTGTGGAATCTGAAAAATGAACTAACCCAGCTTCTCCAGATTCTCATCAGCTGCTTCTCAGAATCTTAAAGCTCCCCTAAATAGACTCTTTGTCCTGGCTACAACCAAGCTATATGACAAGATCTTATATATACCCCATGTTTTTTTCCCTTTGAGAAGTCGGATGTGTTCTCGTCTTTCCTCTCTAGTATATCTCCTACAAAACAAGTTCCTCTAAAATTCATGTGTTTTATTTCCTATGGACCAACCAAATTCGCGATCTTTTAATGTGGTTTTTGGATCATAGGGACTAATTTTAGTCACTGTCATATCGGATGTTGGGACACTAATTAAAAGTATTAACCGTAGACTAATGACAAAACCCATTCCATAACCCTGGACTAATCCGCAAGATGAATCTATTGAGCCTAATTAATCCATGATTAGCCTATGTGATGCTACAGTAAACATGTGTTAATCATGGATTAATTAGGCTTAATAGATTCGTCTCGCATTAGCCTCCATCTATGTAATTAGTTTTGTAATTAGTCTATGTTCAATACTCTAAATTAGCGTCCAGTCATCCGATGTGACAGGGATTGTCCCTGTATCCAAAGTGCCACTAAATTCATATGTTTTAAAAATCCTAAAAAACCCCGATGTGTGAGATATCTTTGTATGTTTTCCCCTTTTCTGTGTCTTACAAGCCGTATGGTGCAAAAGAAGCACTAAAGCAGAGCACAAGACGACACAACCCGGGGACTGGCTGATAATAACCGCTTGAAGAGACCAGCGGTTAAGGTATCTTCGTCATCACCGGTGAGTACTGTGAATATGTGCGTGAGATGAATTGAATGAGGCCATATATCGCACACAACAACGGTGTGACATCGCGATCGAATTTGTTAGGAGTTAGGTGGCAGGAATTTGGAGCAACTTGGAGAAAAAAAAAGGTGAAAGAGGACACAAGGATAGATATGGTGGCTATTGGTCAGATACCCCATATTGTCTTACAATTATCGTTCAGGTATTAGCCGGTCTACGGGTGTCTTAAAATGACCTGCCCATATGTGATAAAAAAATCATTGTGGCCAGTGGCGGAGCGGCCTGGCCCCCTCCAACAAAAATAGTTTCACATATAATCACCTATCTATAATTAGGTAATTAACCTAATTAGTGTATTAATAATTATATAATTAGGTCCCCTGCAAGACTTTTAGGCTCATCCTATATATAGCCAAATCCTGGCTTTGTCACTGATTGTGGCTCATGAGTTTTCGATGCTGCCCGAAGCATAGAGTGCCGCCGGGCCTGGGCCGCCCATGCATATATTATAATTGGTTGGCCTACGCATATAATTGTGTGAATTATGCTATCACTGAACCAGAACGTTTGCCACAATTCAGATGTGTTGAGTTGTTGAAAGTATATGCATGTGACAAGTTATATTCATGATATATATGTGTACCACTCTTCATGATTAAGAGCAATAGTAATGCGTCCCAAAATTTTACCGACCTCACATACCACATAGACTAAGAACCATATTAGCTATATACTCCACAATGCATGTTACTTATAGTGGGTCTTACCTATCTCTCTCCTCACTTTTATCTCTCCCCCTCTCTCTCCTCTCACTTTTCCCACCAGTCTCTCTCTCTCTCGGGCGGAGGAAGCGAAGCGGCACCTGTGGCGAGCAGGGCTCCACACCTCCACCTCTCCTCGTCAGGGCCGGAGGCAGCGATGTCATCGTCCGAGCCCAAACCTCTCCACTGCCTCCTTCGCCGTGGGTCAAAGCTGCCGGAGCCGGAGCCATTGCTCAACCTCCCGCTCCTCCGTGAGTCCATCTCCATCCCTGCCGACGAGCCGGACACCACCAAGCACAAGCGAGCATCGGGGCACTGCCCCCGCAGCTCTAGAAGCCCAAACAACATCGGCAGTGGCCGCCGCCACGGCCACAACGATGGCAGTGTAGAGGAGAGGTGGTGGCATGGCCCAAGCGGTGACGACGCCGGGCGGGGCTCCACGTCGGGCAGGCAAAAGATGCGGACGAC